TGACACACCTACGGTTAAATAACAAAAGGGGTAATCTTTTCAATGAGGCCAAGTGCCATTCCGCCCCTTGCTTAGCTCTTCCACCATGGTTGGTGGATATTGCGATCGATTCCACGAACTTCTGTAATTGATGTCCCCAATAGGCAATAAATATTCGTGCTTTTATCGTTGCTGTCTGAAATTCTGTGAAACGATAACGCGACGTTAATTTACTATAGGCTCTTCTTTCTCTCGAAGGATCATATTGACTCTTATATAAACGTAAAATATGCCTAATTAAAATTTTATACAACTGCAATTCATATTCTCAGATAGAAAGGTCGCAATCGCAACATCTCATCTATTTTTTTATTATATTATCCTTATCAGATTGTAAATATTTTTACGCTTTAAAATATGAGAATCCTATACTTATCTATTATATCTAATAAATACTTTTTCCTTATCGAAAGATAATATTCTACAGAAAATTCTAAGAAAAAATACGAGAAGGAGCCAATTTAGCTCAAACAAAATAAGTAAAAGAATGCTCGTAATTCACTCGAAACTGTCATACCCGACAATGCGGAGGAAAAAAAATAATTTGTCAAAGAGCTGTTACAACTACGCAAGCACAGTCATCAGTCAGGTGATCGATTTTGTATTCTAGATCCGAGAAATTTTCATATGCGACTGGAAAAATCGAGTCTTGACACATAAGTTCTTTGTTTTTCATTTTCTGTAAACAATGCTGACATATAGGCGCGAACAAGCCCGGACATCTCGAGTCTTGACACATAAGTCTTTGTTTTTTATTTTCTGTAAACAATGCTGACATAGGCGCGAACAAGCCCGGACATCTCGAGATCCAACAGCCACGATCCAGTTAAAGCCAGTCGGATCCAGCCGATCTGGTAGACCACCTGGAATGTCACACGGTTTCGAATTCTAAAGCATCTCATCCTCGCTTACACGAAATACCAAGGATAACGGATTAAATACGCTTGAAATAAAGAAACAATTTTAATCTTGAAAAACAATATAAGGAAAAATGAAAATCTTTCCATATCCATAGAATAATAAAAAGAATTATGTTAAATATGTATAATAAACAATATTTACACAGCTATTTTTCTTCAATCATCTTTTTCGGTCCAATATTTTTCATCGGTTATATTCCAAATATCTCTTTAGTCCTTCCCTTTTAATTATTAAAATAGTTATGTATATAATATTTTTGTTATACATATATAAATGAAATATTATGAAATAATGTCTAAAAGACTAAAACTGAGATCATCATTCTCACATTTTTTATAATTCATTAAAAAATATTCTTAGAAGATATTTAATAAGATATATGATATTCCTAATAAAAGATATAGAAATTAAAAACTATAATATAAATGCGGAAACAAAATTTTTAATTAATTTGATTTACACATATTTAATGTAAATGTCCTGATATAATCAATGCTTTGATATCGATCTACTTCGATTTGCTTCGAGTATTTCATGGGATATTCTTTTCGTATCTCTTACATGCATCATATTCTTGATTTCTTTTATACACTTTAAGAAAAGAGGCGTGGAAGGTTTTCAACGTCACAAGAAGTATACCGAATGGGGCCAAACTCTGCTACGAAGAAAGAATTATAGCCGATCGATAGCAACACGTGGTTCAGGCGTGTGTAGTAATGTTTACCATAGGAATAAAAAAGACGAAACCTAATCCCATATAAGACTTTGGAAATTGTCAGAAACCATTACTTGCAAACATTTGCGCATTGCGCCACATTATGTTATACGTGTAAAAATTATATTACTATGTGTATAATGTTATAATTCGATATTTTTCTCCGCAACTTTTTACGCTCTAAAAATATTTCAGAATTAAGTCTTAACAATAATTGTAGCAAATGATTAAAAATTTCTCATTAAAAAATTTTAAAAATTTGTAATATGTTATATATATTTATTGTTTCTCGTATAGAATATCTTAATTGACTTAATATCAATTTATAATTTGAAGTCTGAAGACCAAATATTATTTTAGTTTTTTGAAAAATATAAATTACATTATTCTCGAAAAACTGAGATATATTTTAACAATGAAAAGGAGTTATTTTGCCCTTTAACAAAGTTAAATAATGCTACACTAATTTCATCTTGCATTAGCGATTCTATATATAAACGCCAAATGTACTCTGCGTATTATCAACTTTTTCTACGTTTTTATACCTTTCCTCGTATCTGCAATAAATGCCAACTCATATTTAGAATGTGTATTATCGAAGTTAAAAATAAAAATAATAATATGTTAACTGCACATGTCTTATCGGCAAATATTAAAATATATATACGTTAGACTCTCTCTCTTTCTCTCTCGCTCTCTCTCCTTCCAAATATATAACAGTCAATTCTACAATATAAAATTCTACAATAAAAAAAAGAAAAATAAGATAATATTTTGATAAACATATGATAAATTGATATACTTTTTTATGCAACACATATACATATAAGAATATAAATACAATAAAAAGATGTTGATAGATGGATAACTGGAATAATAAAGTGGATGAAAAAAATATTGATATTAATAAAAATATTGATCCAAATATATATCGTAAACAAAACATGTTTGTGCATATTATATTATTTTTGAGGAAATACATTCCAAAATAAAAATAATCTTTCAATAAAAAGAGTGCCAAAAAATAGCTTGCATATTCATATTTGCGATATTTATTTTTTCCAATATGTACAACGATTTAATTGCATTTTCTAATCTAATAATTATAAACTTTATATTAAACTGTTATTTTATTTCATTTTGATATATTAATTATATATGATATAAATTTAAATATATATGTTGCATAAATTAAAATACTTATTTAGAAGCTAGAATTATTAAAAAATGTACTACAAACGAGATATAAATTTAATATAATTATAAATTTTTGGTTAATAGCATAATATTGCTTTGCATAATTGTTTCTGCAATCTATATGTGAAAATAAATATTGTAGAAATATTGAAGAAATACTTTTCTTACTTTTTCTCATACATTTCAATATTTTTTATCCAACATAATATTTCAGTAATAGTTTTCTTCTCTAGAAAGAAAGAATAATGAGACTTTCATTTGAAAAATCTTCTTGACATTTTCCTTTTCAAATATAATCAATGAGATGTAACGTAATCTTCATTATCTGCAATATTATGCAATTTTTTATCAAATCATATAAAAACTCCATAGTTATTAATAGTAAAATATTAATCTATAGTTCAAATAATCTTTCAGTATCAAATTTAATAGTAATTTAAAAAATGATTGTCAAGGAACCATCTTTGTTTAATAATCTGACATTCTGATTTTATAAATAAGATACATTTTATCTAAATATTATCATTATATATAATAATACGCAATAAATTGCACAAGCACATATTAATATTCCAGGTTATAAATAAAATTATTTATTATACATGCTATTACGGATTGATATTATTCACAAAAATTTAAAATTTATGGTACTATTTAAGATAATTCACAAGAATTTTGATAGAAAAATAGAAATCTTTCTTTTTATTACAAATTAGTATAAATGATTTAATTCTCGATCAGATAAATTTTGTATAAAATAATTTATGCGTGTTACCTCAAGCCTGACGTATTCGACATATTATATATCCAATGTATATGGTGAAATCATAATAAATGCTTATAATTTGAATCTACTATTTGATTACTTAAGGCTTGTATCTTTCGTAAAGTTTGTTTAAATCTAAATGAAAAATCATAATAATAATAATATTTTCTTATATATTTTCACTTAAATCACAATCATACAACACACACATACACAGATTAAATTTATTCACTGAAAAAGTTCGCTTTCACCAAAGACTGAACTCCTTTATAACCTTCATGAAATGATCTGTATAATATTTTTCAGAAGTTTACGTTATATATATACGTGAAAATTTCAAGGCTTTATATATTCATGTATTTATATATATATATGTATATGTGTACGTGTGTGTATAACATACATGTATAAAATAAAACGTTTTCTAGTTAGACATTTTATTATTAATTGTAAGATGTAAGAATTAAACCAACATATATAACAAATTTATCGATTGATTATATTTTGTATATATTCGAAGATATAAGCTGATATAGTTTTCAAAGTTTTTGACTTAGCTTGGTAAATATCTCTCTTACACACAAAATTGATATGATTCTGACATTTTTTCTACATAATATTATATTTATTATTATATATATTTTATGTATATATAATCGTGGTCCAAGATATGTATATTCTTCAAGATCAGCTATAAGATAATAAATATCACTTTTAAGATCCTTTTGTAATATGTCCTTTGATTTTAGATATAACATGATGTTAGCTATAATTTTTTTTTCATATTTCTATAATTCTTAAAACTCATCAATGTTATATTGGAACTATTTACTATTTTCTACTTTGACATCGTTAAAATTGCAATTGCAAATAACATAGATACAGCCGTCATAGACATAATTAACAATAATAGTTATTATTATTCCGCTATAATCATCATTATATTATTCATACATAATTCGTCATTTAATGTAAAAGACATAAAATACACCTCTGTAAATTTGACATTCGACATTCCATCATGCTAGACATTATCTGTGATGTGTGTCCTTATGATATTAAAAAATTATATTATCGTGTTCCTTTTGAAGACATACACAGTGATTGATCATGAAAAAATGTACGATATGGATACGTATAGACCTAAACACGCTATCCATAAAAGATATCCATAAAGGATACTCATTCAATAAATCAAATATTTGTATAATAAAATTATAACTGTCTTTATAAAGAATTTTCAGCATCTTTTACGTAAAATATAAATAAATCTAATTAATAGAACAAATCGATAAATAAAATTCATAGATAATCAAAATTCGTTGTTTAATAATTTACTTATATTCAGAAAACACATCAAAATCGATTCTACTGTTTACTTCAATTGCTATGAAGAATCATAAGCCAAGTAAAGGACTTCTCTTATAAAGATATAATGACTAATGTATAATTATATAATAACTACTTTAAATACACACTTGGTACATTGCACTTGTGGACGGACATTTGTTTCCAGTCCGTACAATTAGGCTTACAAAAAAACACTGGTATTTCTTGGCCTAAAATTAATGTGATTAACGATTATTTATATGTATAAATAAAATCTCTCTCAAGTAGATTAATTAACATAATTGTCGAAATAATCGTTGACACTCTACATATTTACAATTATAGAGAGCAACATATACACACATATAAATCACGAATTGAAACATACTCTGTACATTAACAACAATAATAACAATAATAACAAAACATATCTATTGGTTTGAAAACGAAAATCAAAATCAAATCTGCGCTTGCGATGTCTGAATATTATTATGGTAAAAAATAATTTTTGTGTTCTCGTGAATGATTATTATATAAGGAATTATGTCATATATAATCATACGCGCACGAATTTTCGCGCTTGTATTATTTTAAAATATTTCCAAATTTTCTCTCAATATGTTTGATCGCAACTATTAATAGAAAATAAGAAAGACAATTAATCTCAATATTAAAGTTTCAATCAAACTTATTTTTCCTTTAGTTTTTGGTTTTCGATATTCCACAAACATTGTGAATCACATACGATTTTAATATTAACATAAAATTTTATCATCATCTTAGGAATATCCAAAAAATATAGCCATTATTTAAGAACCTGAAAAAGGTTTCTCTTTGAACATTGAATAGTCAAATCAAAGATTCTTTGTTCTTATAGTAATTTGATAAAACGTTCACAATACACAAGTTCAATACATTTTAAATACATTTATATTACTTCACATAAATTCACAGGAATGACTAAAAATCTCTGTTTGTTAACAAAAACAGAGATATTTTTGGATGTTCCTAAAATTTGCAGAATTTTCGACAAAATCAATGAAACGCGAATTCCACTCATGTTAATATACTTACAAGTAATCCACACATATCACAAATTAATTTCACTTCGCTACTTTAATTTATTCGTAACATTTAGCTCTTCGTAAGTTCAGTTTGTCGCTACACACATAACAGTCAATATTCTAATAAAATACACATCCACCCTGTTTTATATATTCTATATATGTCGTAGTCATTATTTCATTTTACAGCTTACGCGCATTTGATAAAGTCCTCTTTTTCTCCTTTCTTGAGAGCCTCCGAGATATTAAGAGACCTCCGAGATATGTCTCTGATCTTAAATTAGGCGACATTTGGCATATCTTGATACTTATTAGCGATAAATTCGTGCATTTTCTTTAACTAGCGCGAGTTTTTTTTCACACAGCAGAATCTTTCGACTTCGCATATGTGCACACATTATCCGCTAATGAGACATTTTAATTGAAATCCAGTTTCACGGGTATCCTCGTGTATATTTCACGTTGATTCCAATACGCCGCCGGCGAGTTTTGTCGCGTACAGATTTAGTGCCTTTGAAAGAGAAAATTCTATTTTAGATTACAGCGCTACAACGTAATGAGAATTCTGTAGTCATACATATAGATTAACTCATTTTCTGACAACTAATGTATATATGCTAAAGGTAACGAGAGAATACTTAATTTTAAGTAAACTGTGCCTATCGATTATTCAGAGTTTTTAATTAACATCATTTTTGCGCTAATGTCAATTTTTCAAAGGTATAATAGTAGAGGTAATTATGTTTTTCTTTCTATAAAATTCCTATACAGAATTTTTTATCCAATTAGATGTATAATTTATCCAATTTTTTTAATAGAAACATTTTTCTTTTTTTTATTATATATTCTTTTATGAAATGGAGTATTAAATAATTTCTTACACTTATTTCTAAGAGGAACAACTTTTAGAACAAGACAAGACAATAACTTTACGATTTTTATTTTGAAAAATTTCTAACTTTAGAGATGTAAATGGAAAAAAAATAAATTTTTTTTTATAAAATATGTTTTTTGTGGAAAAAAGCAAGTTTTTTTCAAAATTTTATTCTTTTTCTATTCATTATCTTTATAGCTTGATTATATTGCAAGTAAATTTTTTTAAATATTTTTTAGATAGGACTAATCATCATTATTATAAATGTAAATTGCGCTTCAATTAGTTATATATAATTACGTAATTACTCTACTTTCAATAAACTCTCTAGAAACAAATTAATCTTGATTGAATTTATTATATAGACACATAACTTGTAATTTTTAAAAATATACTTTGGTCACTATTTTAATATAATAAAAGAAACTAAAATTCTTATAATTTAAAATTAATTTTTTTCAAAAGTAAATTTAATAAATCAATGAGATTTTTGCCATTAAAATATATCAAACACGACATAATTAGGATAATTGGATGAATAAAAATGTTTCTTATGCATCTAATTGAGAATTATTTAAAACACATCATGTTTGATGTAATTTGCGGCAAAAGTTTCATTAATTTGTTAAAATTATTTTCGAAAAAAGATAAATTAAAAATATAAGAATTTTATTTTTTTATTATATTAACAAAAAAATATGAAGAAAAATAATATTATATTAAACAAAATAATAAAAAAAACTAAATGTTTTATTTTCAATTAAAAAAAGATGTAAAATGTTTTTCTTCACTGTTTGTTTCCTAAAAAATTTTAACAAAAAACGGAAGAAATGGGTTTTTTTACATCTCTATTTGCATTCTAAGTTGGAGCTATTGTAAATAGACTCAAACATGAACAATCACCTTGTATATGAAAGCGTATTGCTCCTTGGTTTGAACTGCACCGGCACGATCTCTCCTGATAGTGTAAACGACCCTCGGAACGTCCACAGTCCTCGTAATCTCGTATTGTCTAATTCCTAGGTCGAGGGCTATTAGCGTACCGGTACGTCCTGTACCGGGACTGCAATGGACCACGATGGGTCCGGGGCCGCCACGCTGGAGTGCTCTCGCTTCGAGGAGTACCGCTATTAGGCCTGCGCCGTCAGATTGGACGCCACTCACCGGCCATAGGTACCAAATATGAAATACCTCTCGGAACGTATTGTTCTCCAGATTCTGCAATTTAATTAATTTCTTTATGTTACCATTAAAGTTACTTGAATTACTATCATTTATATATAAATTTCTTACGATATTATATCCTAAACTTTTCTCGAGAAATGTTCTATTTATTTTATTTATTTAATTGAATATGAAATAATTGAAATATTTATCGATTTTATTATCGAGACACATTAAAGAATGATCGAGCTTCAAACAATAGCTCTATTCGTACAGTTAAGAATAAATTTTTACCTTTAGGTGAAGCGTGGAGATGGCATATTTCTCTTTGGTTTCCCGCTTCTTCAGGGTAACTTGGAAGTCACCGTAAAGTCGGTGACAGTCGGTCACCTCTGACGGTGGAATGTATTCCGTACATTTTTCCACTCCGTTCTCAACGAGATCAGTCAACATGATGATTACCTTGCACTGCTGCTCCCAGATCATGCGCCAAAAGTCGGTAACGGTCGACTCTATTGGCGCTTGGCACGCGATATAATACTTTGTGGCGTTTTTAGGTCCCTGAAACACCGAAGCATCTTTAATTCGCATTCCACATTGAAATTTACAGATATCTCGGACACTTTCTAATCTTAAAATAAACGCTCATTTTGTACACCATATTTGGAGATAGAAAGTGGATTCACTAATTTATTAATTTCAATTGATTCATTTAATTTTACTCATATTATTAATATACACTAGATTATTTATAAAAATGATGCCCAAAGAAAATGTATGCATATTAAATCTGGAAATAAATAAATAATGCAATTAAATTTGTATTTTCTAGCTTGACGCTTTTAGAGACTGATGTTTATTTTTAATTACTGTCACAATTAATTCAATCGTGTGAAATGCACGCACGCATTCGTGTATTTTTGCTCTCTCCTCCGCGTCTTAATTAATGAGCTCACTCTCTAAGAATGAATCTGTATCTTATTTCAATTTCCCTGGCATAATTTATCTTAACGCATCTTCTACTTTTCGGTAACCATCTGTTTACGGATAATTGTCGAGTCGCTCGCGACATGTTTCATTTAGATGCGCAATCGTGTTTTCGGGAGAGGTATTACACAATCTTATTAAATGTCGAGCGAAATTAATTGCACGTCAGACGGCATTCCATTTGGCGCGCACGCTGCGTAATTACGTACACAATACACGTTACGTGCATATACAAAGTGGAAGCATTGCGAATACCGGGTCGATTGTACTCCCGATATGAAGCAACCACGGGTGGTAGCGATTCCGATAAATGTATTTATCGATCAGTCAATTTGTTCCTAATGGAAGTCTCGTCTATTTCCGTCGAGTTTCACGTGAGGAAGAGAATCTTAAAAAAATATCGTCCATGCAATATAAGCGAGCTTATTGTTTAGCTTTGGCACGTCAGACATATTAAAAAGAAAATACTTTTTATATATATTATGAATTTATATCTTTCGAATTTCTGCATTTCTTTTGGAAATGGAAATATTATCTCTCCATTAAATCAAAGTTACAACAATTGCTGTGTTTACGAATGTATTCGATAATTATTATATAAACTGCGTTAGATTAGGTACGAGACAATATATATACATGTAACGCACTCGCAATATCTCTTCGCTATTTATGCAACTCCGAATGAAATTCCGAATACAGGTATTTATTCTGATTACTACTGATTGTTACAGATTGCTATTGTCCGTATTTTATGCCTTATTATGCAATTTTATGAATTATATAATCGCAATACTCTCTTTTATTACTGAAAACTTTGAAATAAAAATAAAGCATTATTGATAAAAAATTTAAAAAATATAAAAAATTTTTAAAATTAAAAAATAAAACACAAGAAATTTTAAAAAAATAGTCTTTCACGTAATAATTTAAAAAAGTTATAATTTAAAATTATACATTATAATTTAAAAAAGTTTTAAACTTTTTTTATTTTCTATTTTTAGGCATTATAATGTAAATTATTTTAAATTATTATAAAACTTAGTATATTAAGTTTGGCATCTTATTTTAAATTATTCTGAAATTTAGCGATATTAAGGTCACTTTAAACAAAACATCATTCATAATTTTGTCTAAAATTATGTCGCAATTTGTTACTTAAATTTGAAAAAATTTCTCTGCGTATATTGTCATTATTTTTTAATTTGTTGTATATATTATATATTTTTACTAATATCTATGTAATATCTATGTTATATCTATGTAATATCTATGTAATATCTATGTTATATCTATGTAATATCTATGTAATATCTATGTTATTTTCAGTAATGAAAGAGATTAATAAACATGTTAAAAAAAATTGTAATTTTTTTAATCTCTCGCAAAACCTACTTCCAAATACACTTGTTATCTTTTCGCTGTTCAGAGATTTCTGATTCCCTTAAAATGTACGAGCGGCACACACATTCTCGGTCAAATGCATTCTAACATATGCAAACGATTAACTTTTGTACCTCTTTGACCCCGTTTTGTAGAACTTTTGCGATTAAAAGGCGAACTAGTTATTTTGCGAACAATTCCTGACGCTTCCGCGTCTGGGTTCCCAGTAGTTTACACGCGATACAATGCACTCACTTTCCCGGCGCGACGTGTTACGCAACATTCCTTTCCCACGCGCTGCGCAAAAACACTTTGCTAGTTTTTAACATGTTGGCATTCACTGTATTTCACTCGTGGCTGACATAATCCAATCTCGCGCAAATGCTATTAATGACATCGAAAAAATAATTACGTATAAAGTTCTCTTCTGGCGCGCGTGTTTTATAAAAACGTGTTTTATCTCTCGCTTGCCGTCGCTCTCGCTGTCGATTAAAAAATTAACTCACGTGAAAATAACGGAAATTCACAAATGAAATCTTTAACAGACGTGTGCGCAACGGCAAGAGGATTTTTTTATGAACCGCGTGATGGGAGTTTGTCGAGTTGGAGTTTTGCTTCAATTTTCAATTTCCATTTTTTCATGTTTACGGATTCGAAAGGATTTCGATAGATTTAATTTATATAGGAATTAAACTTTTAATTTTCTGTATGTCAAATGTAGACAGTGATAATTTTCTATTTGGAAATTTAAAGGAAGGGCTTTTGGTAAAAAAGCCGAATCGATTAGTTTAAGAAAAAGTAATTTGAGATTGTTTAAAGTAGATGTTAGACTGAAAATTGAGGAAAGAGTAGAAGAAAAATCTCGACTCTGGAGCATACTCGGAAAATCAGTTTCAATCAAGAGATCTTACCCGCACGTAACTGGCATTGATGTACTCAGTCGAGGCATCATTGTTTAGCTTCTGTAACTGCACCCTCGTCTCCGGAAGTGGTATCACGTTCGCGTATCTATTCTTCACTTCCGCTCCCGGGGGCAACTCGTCTATCTTTCCTGAAACTTGGGGTATACCCGCGAACTCCTCGTTGATTGCATTAACGTCGTTACAGAAAGATGAAAGCCCGGCGAAGTTCAGGGGATGAGAGGGAATGGCGCTCTGAAATAAGGAGATATCTTTCCTAGAGACTTTGCTCGCTCCTCTTTCCAAAGAGGAAAAATCGTAGCCACGCTTTCGTTGATCAAACGAGGCGAGATCACTCGATATCGATCATGAAAAATATTTACAATTCATTTTATTCTGTAGAAAAATATTTAGAGTTCATTTTATTTTTCCATTCAATCAAAACTTAATTGAATAGAAAAAAACGTACAACAAAAATTGTGAGGCAACTTTAATAAATTGTGATAAATCTGCGTTCACAAATTCAAAGCCAGAATAATTTTAGAATAATTTTAGACAGAATTATTTTAGATATTGATAATCAAAATAAATGTATCATAATTATTTTATATATAACTTTGTACTTATAATGTTAATAAATATTAATAAAATAATGTTAATAAAAATCATAAATACTTTCTATGCTAAATAATTTTTTGCATAATTAAAAGACAGATGTAATTATTATTATGTGCCATCAAATTAATGAATCTTTCAGGAGCCCTTCGCTATTTTAAAGCGATGTTGGATTCTCGCCGCAGAAGGAACTTTGAAAGGAGGGGTATGTCGATAAATTAATGATTCTAAGATAATAATTTAGCGATACATATCATTTTATAATATAAATATGCAAACTAACATGTAGATCTAGTTATGTTTGTTGAGGACAGAGTTTAAAGTTTGCTAGCAGATAGAATTTGCGCAGAATCTGTTATAAATTCAATAATGTTAGCAGAAATGTAAATCAAGCAATCATGTCTTGGCAATGGAAAACTAATGATAATTTACTGACAGAAACTAAAGTTAATTATCTTAATCTCTATAATACAATCGAATCTATCAGCAAATTGATATATTTCTATCATCTAGCTATTTAGGTATGAGCAGTATATTATTCCTCAACAATTCTTTTACCTGAAAGCGTCTTATATAGATCTATACTTTCGTAACACGTAATAGCTATAAAAAAGAAAATTAATATTGTAGTTTAATGAAAAATGTAATCATACATTAAAAAAATCATCTGTTTAAAAAAAATTATGTATATATATACTATATTCAATTAATAATAAAATTTATTCTCTATCAATTTTTTTCTTTATTATAACAGTATATTTTTTAAATAAAAATGATTTTTTATGTATATTTTAATTATATGTATTCTATAGAAATAAATATCTTTAAATAAAAATCTCTAAAAAATATCTGACAAACCCCATATTATAATCAATAAATATAGAATTGTATTCCTATGAATGGCACGATGCAAAAAGTTGTCGTGAATTTTTTCTCAAACTCACCGAATCCTCGAAGGTCGGGTTGCCATAGCTTCTCTTGGAGGATCTTACCGCACCCTTGCGCCTTACGCTGTTGTAAGCCGAAACGCTGTCGAGACTGTAAGCGTCCAAGGATACCGGTCGACACCGTTCTCCGTAGTTGAACCTCGTTTGCCTCTTTCTCATTATGAACTGGAAATGATTACAGTTAAGATTAGCGACAGTTACATTCCAGCTAAACGAATGCTTGAAGCCCATCTAGCAGTTTTACTGCGCTCGCAACTTCGTACTTTTTCCGTAATAGTCTAGTCGAATTCTACGAATACTCACGATATCTCGAAACGCGATGGCGGTCAACTTAGTGGCCATGCATTGAGCCGAAAACTGAAATTTGCGCCAGCGTGCAAAATACATTTATACAAACGATAAAAGTGTGTCGCGAATTTTTATTAATCCTCGAATTTAATGAATATATTGTGCAAGATATATCTCTATATAATTAATATAAATATAAATATAATTAAATCATTAAAAAAATTAATTATTTTAAATAGGTGATCTTGCATGTAATTCGTATTTTTCTTATTAATTTATAGAAGAAAAAATAATATGATTTGTGCATAGACGAGTGCAAATCATAATGACGTTGTGATCAATTGTAACAATTGAATAAGCGATCTTGCATATATTTCGTATTTTTTTATTAATTATAGATGAAAAAATAATATGATTTATGCATAGACAAGTGCAAATCATAATGTCGTTGTGATCAATTGTAACAATTAATTACAATTGTGGCTGTAATCATGCTTGTTACGATTGTCACCATCGGCATAGTTTTATTATCAATTATGTCATATCTGAAACGGTGAAAATCTGACGGTCAGCGAAATAACGAGTTTCGTGAAATACATGACAGGTGGAGGAGGACTATTTCAACATCGTCATTCGCATGCAAAACAAACACGCTCATAAGAAACGACACGACGTAGTAGCGCTGATGAAGCGTGGAACGTCGATTGCTGGCCAATCTAATCAGTCATTCAAGGCTGGATAACCACATGCGCGAACAACATTTTATTCCTTCTGGAAAAAAGTCATGTCAGCCAATCCTTTTATCGTTAATTATGTATTATCACGATGCCATAAATATATTTTATGTTTCACGGTAATCCCCTCTTGTACGATCCCGCATTCAACGAGTTCTCTTCGTAATAAATCGCGAATTACAATATTCTTTGTCGTTATTGGAAATCATTATTTTATTTTGCATATTTTTATTTCTAATTTTTATTCAGATCGATTCCATTGTTATAAATATGAAATTGTAAAAAAAAAATATAAATCCCTATATATTTTTTATTTTTAATGTAACAAAATTTTTTTGTTACGCTAAATTACTAGCTTAACAAAGTTAGCTGGTCGATTCATTACGAAAGATTGTTTTTCCAACAACGAGAATTTTCATCTCTAATATTTCAGATATAGCATCGATTCGATTGTTATAAATATAAATTTGTAAAAAAATATATATATAATTTCCTATATATTTTTTATTTTTATATATTTAAATATTTTATATATTTTTTTATTTTTAGTAACAAATTTTTTTTACGCTAAATTACTAGCTTAACGAAATTAGCTGGTCGATTCATTACGAAAGAAATTCTTTTTCCAACAACGAGAATATACAGTTTTGAAAATGAAACGATACCGTTAGATTGCCTGGCACGACGTAGTAATTTTCTTTATCTTCCTTATTAATTGATTCGTTAAGTTTCGTTGGTTTAGATTCCGCTCGACGTTCTATGACTATATTACACGTTCATTAAAATTAATTGTTATACGCTATGCGAGCACTGTATTAATATTACCGATGAAAATGTTACGCAAAGTTATCACAGAAATAATAATGAAAAATAATGTCATTAAAATATAAAAATATGCTGTAGCAGTGTAAAGTGTACGTAACACGAGCAAGCGTGTATTACAAGTGTTATTTTTCGCAATCAATTTTTTGCAAAAATCCGCAAAGTTCTTCTAGCGTTTATGTAAATAAAATAACAAGAATACAATTTATATAAGTTTCTTGCTTTCTCGCGAAATGATTAACTTGCATTTAATGTAAGTCGTGTATATATATATACAATATAAATAGAAATAGAATAGAGGTGTTAACATAAACGTGATTTAAAAAAAACGAAAAAATTGTATAATAAGCCGCAATTATCTCGTAAAAATAGAAAAAAAAACAATCTCTCGTGTAAAACGTTATGCATGCATCGAGTACTATCATATCATTCGCGTGACGAAGAAAAGAACATTATCTTTCACCTCCCAGACAATACACATATAGACATATTAACAAGTTATTACGTACGTTGAAAGAAAATTATGGACAGGTGGACGGAGACATCGACATGTAATCTCGCGAATAGAGATTTATCGCCATGTAAGCGCGACGCAGCAGGCTACACGTCAACGAGCATAGATTTTCGCGGACCTGCGCAGCTGTATCTTGAAACATTAGTATTTCCTATTTCGATCCTTCGGTAACATGCTACGTGACACGTAAACACGACACAAAAAACACGCATGCATTCACATTCAGAATTCTAAGATGAGACAGAGAAAGTCGTCCGTACACGAACGATTTAAGCTTTCGAGATTTCTCTCGCAATTATGCCTCGCAGAAATGTCAATCAAAAATTGAATCGGTCTTTTCTACGTTACATGCAAATCTGAAGTTTGAAGTATCCTTATTTTATAAAAGATAATAATTGGATCGTCACGTCAATCAATGTATTCGTCGAAAGTTAACAACACGATAGATATCTCTATTTTCGAGGCTTTTAAAAATGAATGAAATGCTCTTACCAAGAGTCCGGCTAGAAGCACGAGACAGATGAAGGCCACGGAAGAGACTACGACGACAGCTATTGCGTTTCCGGAATCCGCTTCCGGTACCAAAAGAAGCTTGTGTATCTGAAAGGAATCAATGATCTGAGGAAATTTAATAAAGCAGCTCCATCGATTATACATTATGTCCGACTGAATATAATTTTGATAACTTTTATACATGAAGCAACATCGATCAATCATGAGGTAACAGAGAAGGAGCGCTTCGTAGAGAAACATATTGAATGATGACCGAGAATTATTCCCGAGTTGATGAAAGATTTTCTCGGCTGATTAACGGGAATGTTAAAATTTTAACGAGCACAAAAGTTATAATAGACTTTCGCTGATGTTCGATGGGATTAACACAGTTACTGTACATGTTCTAATCCGCGCTCGTCCTCCGCCGTTTTCAACTTACTCTCATTGGGAAGGTGGACACCTTGTATAAACTTGGTAGAATCTTTGTCATGGCCGCGTCAAATTTGCCATTCTCATCAACGACGTAAACCAGAATCGAAGTTAGAGAACTCTCTATGGATATTACAGACGAATTTGCCAGCTCGGTACAAGGATTTTGATGAATCATGATTTGCTTCGCCAAGACAGGTCTGCAAAACGAAATATTGCATATGTAACGAATGTTAAATATATTGATTGAATTTTTCATTCTTTCAGATATAATTTTTTTTAAATATAATATTTATTAAATATATTTTTTAAATATAATAATATTTAAATATATATTTATTTAAATATAATATTTCATTTTTTTTTAAATATAATATTTCATTTAAAATTTTCAGCTTTGATATAAATAAATAAAATAATATTGTTTATGTGCTGCAAAAATATGTCATTTTATTAAAATCAATTTCCATATTCTTTATAAATTCAAAATGTAAATTTGTCATTTTGAATATACAATTTATCATTGCTTTAATTGATTACCAAATGTTTACATTTAAAATAATACTAGCATTATATAACGCATATATTATTTATATAAGCAAAAGAGAGATTTATCTATCATTAACAAATGACGATAATAAATTATCGATTACGCGGATATTCGATTCAAATCATCGATATTTAAATATGATGCAAATTAAAATTTTTAATAATCAAGGTATCCTATAAATCATAAGTAAATACACATTCAATTACGCGGTATAAAGAATATTTAATAATAGATTTGAAAAGAAAAATCGCGATGATCTTGGAACAAGAGAAATTCCTCGAAACACTTACTTCGTTACGTCCATGCCTTTTGTGAGAACATTCGCGAGCGCCTGCTTTAAGTCCGGCAGCCGAGGACAGACTTCGCGAAGAGTACCCTCGATGACAATTTTAACCAGCGACGTGATCTCGTCCGACGATAGGATCTGGATATTTTCCGTCGTCTCTTCGTCAGGCACGTTTTCCGTGGAAGATGTACTCCAGGGAACTGTGCTTCTCGTTTCCACGGTGCTTGCGGCAAACGGAACTGAAGGGCCCTTCGTGGCGTTCGTCGTGACACCTGAATTCGATGGAAGTTCCACTGTGCCTGGGGCCGACGTTTCGGTGACGTTCGTGTCGAAACTTGAGTCCTTGGACTCTGAAGGATCCTCGGTAACGCCGGAGGTTCCTGCGATATCAGCGCCTGCGGTGGCGCTCATGAGATCGATAACAGTAACTTCGGGGTACTTCGTAGACTCCGTGCGATTGCCTTGGTCCTCAAAAGCGCTGTGAGTAACTGGAACAACTGGAGAATCTCTGACTTTGACAGTTTCGTTGTTACTCTGGACGATTGATACTTGTTCCGTCGTTGACGTATCTTCGGTGGTCATCGGCAGTTCGGAGGACTCTTCAGACTTCGTCGTGGTGACCGTCTCATCCGTCGAATTATTGGATAAATCTCGAATCGTCGTGGTATTCGAGGGCATTGTATGTTCTTCAAAGGTTCGTCCTTCGAGATTTCTCTCGATAGTGTTATTCGCCGAAGAAACTGCCTCCGTAAGACTAACGAATTCGAGTTCGACGGGCGTAGTCGTCGGAATTCGTAAGTTGTCGGGGTTTAACGTGGTAGATTCGCTGGTTTGATTAACGTTCGAGGAAGACTGCGGAGGAAGGAAGGTAACGTTCGCCTTCGTTGTCGATTCTGTGAAATTTTCAGGAACCGTCGTGACGACTGTTGTGCTAATCTCCACTTCTGATGCCATCGAAGATGTAGACTTGTTCGCTTCCGTCGTCACGTCTTTGTCTAAAGGAACCATTGTGGATTCGGTGACGACGAAAGTTGACCGTATCATCATAGCTTCCTCCGGTTCCATCTGAATATCCGTGTCCAGAGGAATCGTTTTTGATGTACTCGACATTTTCGTGGAACCCAAAGTTGACGATTCCGTCGTTTCGCCGGAATGTGTCTTCACTTCTTTGCTGTCTGGAGTCAAGCTAACTTCCGTTATCACATTTCCGGTTACGTCATAACCTTCGCCTCTAATTGCAGTCGCTTTCTCCTTTACGTCCGACACATCATTGTCGTTTGGTCCCGAACTCGTCACCTTCTCGCCTTTACTTATGCTGTTGTTAAATCTTTCTGAAAAAGTTTCGTTCGTTGGTCCAACAATGGCTGAAACAATTGGAATCGCTGTCACTGAGGACAGAGTTTCCGTGGAATTTGCAGACCTGTTAATATTCTTCTTATCCAGTTTCTGTTGCTGAAGGATGCTATTTTCGATCACAACCGAAGGTTCCGTGATGACAAACTTCTTCTCGGATTCACCTCTCCCAATTGTGTTTTCATAAGCCGATGTTTCCTCGGTAACGCCTTCATTCTCCAATTTCGAATTAGCCTCTGTTGTCATCTGTAACGATTCTCTACTGGACTTCAGGTAAGGATAGGGTTTCTGATCTATTCTTTCCGTGCTGGAACTATTATACAAACTCTGGGTGACCGATGATGCTTCGACTGCTTCATCGATTTTTGTCGGGTCTGTAGATTTTACTTCTATGCTGGAGAATTCGTTAATTCTGGAAAAACCAATAGTTCGACCCTGTGGAACAGGACTAGAAACGGTTTCACCAATGAATGAAACATGCCCAGTAAGTTGGATGCTCTGAGTCGTTGTTTCGGGTAATTTTACTTGACTCTCAGGTTTCCCTATCGATTTCCGTTCTTCCGCACCATCTGTACTCTCGATGGTCGTATTGATAGCGGGGGAGTTTTGTTCGTGGTGGTTTTCGTTTCCGGCGCCAGTCTCTTCTTCTCTCTTGATATAAACGGCTGCTTCCTGATTGTCCAATCCATTAAAGTGCGAATCGTTTTGTGCGGTATCGTTTGTGGTGGATACGATCCTCAATGTCGGTTGGTGACTCACATTTTTAACGACTTCTACCTCTTCCTTCAGATCATTTTTGCCGTGCGATTCAGTAGCGATGGAATGATTGTCTGAGTTGGCTTTAAGGTCCTTTTCTGATAAAGTTTTGTAAACATGATTGTAATTAACGTCCGTGTCATTAATTAATGATATGGCTTCTTCGTGTTCCTTTTCATCGATTTTTTCCAAATCAAGTACCTCGGATGCCGTTGTCCCTAAATCATTCGCATTTTTTTTGGCTGCCGAAAAATCTTTATACTGAATACCGCTTTTCGTAGTCAATTCTCGATCATGACTCTCCAGTTCATGATCCTCAATCTTCAAATCAGCCGAGATTATATCTTTGTTCTTTCTCGAGTCACCTTTCGAAACAATCTCTTTGTCAGACTTTATAACTTTATCCTTTTTTTCGTCGAATCTGATACTTTCGGTTAATGATTTCAAATACATCAAGGAGAAATCTTCTCCGGTAGATTTAACAGTCGTTGTTTCTTGTTTATTTGCAGTTACATTTCTTTCCTCTACCGAGGTTTTCGTAAGATTCGCGCTTAATTTTTCGCCGATAATTTTTCCTTCCGTGCTTGGAGAGATGGTTGCATCGGGTATTCCTTTATGATTGGAAAATTCTTGAAGTGTGACGTTCTCAGAGTTCTCCTTACTATCTTGCTTTGAATCGTTGAAAGCCAGCTTCGTGGTCGTTACAATCAGTTCGTTCGTGCTGGAGAGCTTAAGAGCATCTTCAGAGATAACTTTCGTGCTGGTGCTCTTCCCGGAGCTATCAGTGGCGACTTCTTCATATCTCGACTTTTTGTTCCCATCTGACGATGACGAATCCTCGGACTCGTCGTTTGATTTTATCGAATTGCGCGACACATTGCTTCTTTCTATGTCCTTACTCACGTCGTTACCGTTGTCATGTGGCCCAGCTTCCTCAGTTTTTCGATTCGCCAAGTTGATATTGCGTCCATCGTTTTCCACGATCGATTGATTCTGGTAGATCGAAGAGGTTCTTGTTAAGATCGTCGTGGCTTCTTGGGGAGTCGATGCTTTTTGGGAGAGATCAGATTTCTCTGACACAGCGGACGCTTCCGTAACCTCCGCGACCACATTGCCGAAGAGCAGCAGAAAGGTTCCTGAATAACATTTTTTTAATATAAAAATTATATTTCGTTTTGCTTTAATTTCCTGATAAAATACGATTACTTTAAATTTGTAATCATTTTTTTACTCTAATTATATACCTATTCTCCTGGACAAAATTAACGCATAACTTCTTCTTCGCTTTTTCTTTAAAATTTTTCGTTCAAATTTAAATATTAACTTTTAAAGAAAAAGTGAAAAAAAAATATGCGTCAATTTTGTCCAGGAGTATATTATATTAATTATTTTACTTTATCATGATTATATAATTTATATTAGAACTTTAAAAAACATGTATACTTTGAAAATATTTACAGGAAAATTCCATTAACAAACTGCCATCGATGCTTGTCTATCTTTCTTTATCTCTCTTCTTTAATTCTTAATGATACATTTGACAACACAAAATGGTGTTTATGGTAATGACCCCCGCAATAAGCGCGTTCGCTGACGCACGAAAACAGAAGTCAGCAACAACAACAACTGGTTTCGAGCGAGACGTGCAAATAAAAATGTGACGAGCGTAGATGAGGCGTTTAATGGATCGAAAAACCGGTTGTCCGTGGAATTGCCGGTGGGTTCTTTCGTAGTTATTCACACGGGTCCGATACAGTTCAACGGAAAATTGAAAGCTCGAACGGCAAGCATGCGTTTGAATATTAAGTAGATCTCGGAATTATTCAGGCTTCCAACGTGTCCTCGTCTTTTGCTGATCTACGTCGATACGATGACTATTCGTTCTTCGAAGGAAAGCATCGAGATAAATATTTGTTTTATTCAAGCGCAAAGCGAGAATTTTCCACCTGACTTCGATACTTTCGGTGCATTTGCGTTTGCGATTAAAGACGGCCGTTAAGGATTTACAACGAAATATCGATTTTCTATAAAAAAAACTGTATTGTTTCGCACGGATAAATCTCCATTTTATTTGCAGAATATATATTTTTATTTGTTCTTTTTTAGACTCACATTTTTTATATTTAAAATCTTTGTTTTTTCATTTTTTACATTCTACTGTATATCGCAGAAAAATGATATCAAAGAAACAAAAATAAAATAATTTAATATATTCGCGGCCTCTTTCACATAAAAATGTGTAATAAAGTTAAAGCAGAAATTTAATTAATTACGAACTTATTTGTTAAGTTTTTTAATAGTAGATGTTTCCTAACTCTTCCATTTTACACACACAACATTTTTAACATAATTACTGAGAATTTTCACATTCTTGTCTATATAATTACAACGAGTCTTGCTCAATGATATATCTAAATGAGAAGTTAGTTAAACTAGTTTTTAATGTCTATAAAATGACATGTATACGTATATGATTGTTGATCTTTTCATAATGCAACATTTTCATTATTATAATGCAGTACAAAAAGAACAATATATTCAAAAAGAATAATATGTTATTTAAGTTCTTTGACTCACACAGTTGACAAATACTTGTATTCACATTTAATTACTTGGAGACATTAAAATAATTGCTCACATTATTATTTGTTACATCAGCAATAAGACATTCAGCTAAGGCATTCCTATCTCACAAACATTCTAGCTAATTAACTTAAATTTATGACGTTTCTTTCATCATCAGACTTAATTCATCGAGTAAAACTCACGAAGATATTCTTTTAAAAAGATACGTCAATATTTTTTTCATATAAATAAATATGTGAGGGATTTTTATTCTATATCTGTGGATGTTTATTTTAGATTCTCTAGACTAGTCGATATATTTGAAGGATTAAATTTAGATCGAGACATGTTTATCGGCAACATTTACTATTAATGAAAGGGGGACGAACCGATGGATTGTGCGATAGCACAAGGCGGGTTGGCAGATTTTGTTGTTAAGCTGCGAGTTACAGTTAACTTGCAGGCGGGCACGCTGCAGTAAAGCTAACAGTACTTGGTGCAGTCACCTCGATTGGCAGGCTTTACATCACGAGTTCACAATGCAACAGGATGCAGCCGAGAGATGCTCGCCCATTCTCTTTGACGATGGCAAAATGCCGCCGTAATGCACCCGCGCAATACGACACGAAGTAAAAAATTGCGCGTATAATTTGCTTAGTACTCTGCTTCTTTTTTCCGAAATAATATACGTTACTCCGGATGCGACCTGTACTTCTCCCGCGCATTCGTGAAAAATAAAGAAGAAGGTTTGCGGAACGAAATGGCGTCTTTTGACGACTAAAACTCACCTATGCATCCCAATATGAAGATAGACGTTCTTCCGTGAGTCATCTCTGTCTGTCAGACCTCCTCGCTCGTTCTGCAACAAATATTATTGCAATATTATTTTACATTTTGCATTTGCGTATTATTCGTTCCATGTAAATAGAAATATATGTATAATACAACGGACATTATAATATGCTCCTGGATAAAATTAACGCATAATTTTTTTTCACTTTTTTTTAAAAGCTATATATTTAAATTTAAAAAAAAATTGTATGAAAATTTTATAAAAAATTTTAAAGAAAAAGGGAGAAAAAATTATGCGTTAATTTTGACCAGGAGTATATTTATCCAAAACATTTTAATTATATATTTTCTTGCAATTGTCAAATATTACTCTTATGATGTAAATCATTAAATGCAATATGTGTGTGTATAAGATTAAATGAATATAAATAAAATTTTCCAAAATTATATTTATATATTTATAAAACTGTAAATTGTATAAGATTAAATGAAACATAAACAAAATTTTCGAAAATTTTATATATTTATAAAACTATAAATTGTAATCAAGTTTTTGAGCAAAAATTGATAATGATATTTGCTTTTTATAGATATATAGCTATTACATTTATAAAAATAGTTGTGTTAAGATAAAAAATTATGAGAAACATACTTAAAAATTCTTAGCAATGATACACGTAATCAAAATTATAATAAAAAGGACTATTCTTATATAGATATTTTATTTTGTGAAATAGAATGTTATAAAGCAGTATCAGTATGCGCATGATGTATGCGTCGTTGATTAAAATTCAAGAGAAAGATGTCGATCAAGAGCTTGGAAATGGATACAATTCGCTGTATAATCAGGCGCAATTTTCAACATTGTAAGGATGACCTCGTTTACGAGCCTGCTTACCTTAGGGAGTACAACATAAAACTCCAGACCGCAATGCAGCGCGCAAGCTTTATTAAAAGTTTTCATCTCGCGTTTGCAACAATGTTGTACGAAGATTTAGTATTTCGGTCAAGGATATAGATCTTTCAATATTCTTCTGAGTTTACGTTCAAACAGTTAAATATCAATTCAAATTCAATTTCTCATGAAAGAAGTAATAGAAGTTGAAAAACAAGTTTATATACAATATATGTGTATACAATATATGTGTATACAATATATGTGTATACAATATATGTGTACGCTATATGTTATCCACATAACGTATTAATTATACAATATAAATTATATATTTATGCAATGTAAGAAAGGCAAGTATATTTAACCAAAAAAATTTCACACTAATTTGGACATTTAATCGATAATAAAATGTTGCACGAAAATCTAAAATCGTGATTATCTAATTTTTATAATATATAGGTTGAGATACATTCCGCTATTCAACGCCTCGTTTGCTGCACGAACGCATTCATTGTAACAGTGTGCAGGTATTGAACACATATCTGACTTTAATTGTAGAAAGTAATCATAGAAAGTACAATTATATATCTCTATTATATATCTCTGTTCTCTGTAAATATATTGAAGGAGTACGCATCAATTATAAAAGAAATTACTAAAAGAAAATTAATATTACATCGAATTAATCGTACAAGTCTGTATGAGATTATATTAAAGCTGAGAAAGAAGTTAACAATTTATACGATAAAATGATTAATAATCAAGAAAACGAAAAAATCTTTAATTTAAATATACTCGAAAAGTCTCGATTACTTTATCAAATATTTTAAAATAAGTATTTGATGTAAAATCCTTTCTTTATCTGGAATTCTATTTTACATCATAACCTGCAAATTCTATTTTACATCATAACCTGTTAATTTAAAATTGTAAGAAAACTGCGTAAAATGTATATAAAAATTTTGCTTCTACTTATTTTATTATCCACTGTGAATCGTGTAAAATATATCATTATTTCGTTCAACGAGCGAAAATTGCTCTAATAAACTGGGCTATATCTTTGCCTCATGAAACCATATTCTATTTTATCGTCTTGTTTCAGGGTACCTCGTGTGGTGAGAGAGAGCTTATACCGCATTTCCTTATTAATTCAGGAGCGAAGCACCTGGGAAAGTGTGTCCAAAGCATCCATTAAATCTCATAGGTAGTTTTGCGGGTGTGTCGAGAATATTTCACATAAGCGACGCATCGTAAAACGGTACTGAAAGTTGTAATATCACTGCATGAATGAAGGCGTAATACATACGAGACCCTATGTTTCATGATAGAATCTGTCTACTCGAGCAATTAACGATGCGTGCAATTAACTAGCGTATCGCATCTTGCGCGTCTCGAGCAAATGCATGTCTTAATTATATGTCTTTAATTACGTCGTACGCACATTGCATGGGAAAATAGTTGCATGATGCGTCAACACGCATTATCTTAGCTAGAGCAGACAAGCGTGTGTCTGCAATGTAATTATATTGCGATCAAATTAATTATATCGTTTAGCTAATCAGCAGAAATGTGAGATTTGGTTGCTTTTATCATTATTTAAATCACTTTACGTATCTCGAATATGATATTTACTTCGAAAAGCTTCAACTTTAGATTTCTTTCTTTTGTACTTACTTTTATAAAGAATAACAGTTTAACGGAAAAATTTTCTTGCGTTCTTTAATAAATAGTTAAATATACAGACTAGCATAAATTATTATCGTTTAAGATCGAAAAGAACGTTGTAGAAGGACATAGAGGAGATTAAAATTTAAAAAAAAAGCTAACAAAAACCGTCGTCGTGTTCCTCTCTCAAAGAAAATTATATTGCGTAGAAGAAAATGTGGAAAAAGAAAATCGTGTCGCTCTTATGCAGGGGAAAAAACCAATATTCTACACTTTATATCTTGTAAAATAAACGAGATAATATGGGATAAATATTCTATAAGGTACACGTAAATATAGAGAATAAATTCGACGCGCATGAGAGATGAGGTTAATGAAGAATTTCGAAAGTTTCCGCGCAATTAATTAACGCATGAAAGGATCACGTCATCAAATGCGAACGACATCAAAGTACGACACGTACTTTGCTGCTCTTAGTCATGCGAACGCAACATACGTGTATGTATGAGATTCGTACGCTACATCATCCTATCTACGATGTAGCCTGCAGGGATCATCGTTCAGCCAGAGCAGCGGTACCAAAGGAGGTCGACCTCAAGGCTCGTCAATTAGATTAGTTAGGTTGTCGCCCCGAGGAGCAGGAGGTCCTCTCTTCGTGCAATAATTTCGTACATAATCATTCGTATATCGAATATTTCTTTGTGTATTGGAAAATAGGGGTATCGGTTTTGTCGAATGCTAATTCTGAATGTTTGTCTGGAACTTCGGATCCTACTGTTTATCGTGACCCAAATTGATCAAATATCGAACGTTGAGTTTGTACGATTATTATTGTAACCCAACGAACCCTGTTATATGCACGTTTGGATCTCGGTAAATGGATATCTGTTTATATTTCACGTTGTACATAGAGAATTGTCAAAATCAGACTATTAGCTTTAAAAATTCAGCAAATATTTGTTTTCAGAAAAATTATTTATGATATTTTTGTTAAGAAATATCGATTAAATATTGTTGAAAAATTGTCAAATGAATGAACTGTCATGATTGTGGCTTAAAGAGAATGATAATATTTCATGTAATTTATAACAAGATTTTTATTACATTTTATGTAATAATAATAATATATAATATATAATAAAAAAATGTAATGAAAAAATATAATGAAAAAAATATATAATGAAAAATGCAGTATATGTGTATTTAAAACAATAAATAAAACAACAAGATAATGACTTGTGTACAAAAAGTACACAATACTGATATCAGTACTGATATCAATCAATATTACTAAATTTAAAATTCTTTTTAAACTTTAAATTAAAACCATTTTAAATTATAAATACTTAGTAACTTTTGTTTTCTATTAATTGCATTATGATGAATACCGTCACTCTTTCGGCTTACGTTACTGCTAGATTAGCCCGTCGTAAGCGTACAATGGATGATGGTTCAGTAGCAGTCCCTGGCAAAAAGCGGGATATATAAAGGATGCATTTTCCAGCCGATCTTGCATCCTTTGTCTCCGCTGATTGAAGCGCTTTTCCGTTTTCCGTCACGAAAAATCTTTTTTCGTCGATTTCGCGAATTGGGCCACGCTATTCACGTTTCTCCGGAACGTGAAACGTATCGGGAGATAGTAGAAAGTTTGCTATAATTCTTTTAAATGCCGAGCTGTATGAATCACGGTAGCGATTTATTCTCCGTATCGCACAACGCGCATCTATTGCAATATTTTTTTCAAATTGAATAAATCTGTTGATGTAATAAATATACATATAAGTTGTGTTTTTCAAATTTCAAATTGTTTTTATATTTTTTATACGTTCATAAAATGATAAAAAAAAGCTAGAAAAAATACGCTCAGAGAAATTATTCAGATGCAGGGAATTTCTTTGATATAATTAACGCGATTTTTATTTATTATTATATTTATCTATTTATTTCTTAATTTAGAAAATGGAAATTATTAAGACACAACGCAGGATTTCATATTTGCCTCAAGTTTTATATGCAATATCAGTGCATGCATATAAAATTAAATCATGAACGAAGGTTAAAGATAAACCTTCGGTTTAGATGTGGAGGTTTCCATAAGTGAAAAGAGCGACGGAGAAAAACGCTGTACTTTCTCTCAGCTGCATGATATACGTTGTGAAAAGCAGCGAAAATGCCAAGAGCTATGTATACCGGCGTTGAACTAATCCATCGTCATCGTTGAAACACATTTCTCGACGATCTAATATATATAAATTACTTCCCGTCTCGTCTTCCTGTTCTTCCAGATACAATGTCTCCCAGGTGTATACATGAGTCTGCGGATTTGTGTTGCTCAACTTCCTTCATTTACATGCTAACAGAACTACTAGTGACTCGCGGCTAGTTAAGGATTCATCGTTGCATAAAGGAATACTCGGATGTAATTTGTTCGTGTAAATTTTTCCAGCGTATACTTTCTCTCGGAAACTCGTGGATGTCGATCGTAAATTTGCGTAAGGATCGCG